TAAATCCTTAATTTCTTCAAAGGTTAATTTCATAGTCCTAGATGTACTAGCTACTACCGTGATAGTTCCTGACCAACTAATAGGGCTTGTACTTCATCATTAAATTTAATATCCACTACCACTAATCTTGACAATAAGGAATTAAATTCATTCACATGATCTATAACACTAGCACCTTCTCGCATCTTCGTATTAACTAATTGATGAATCAAAAATATCTTGTTTGATGTTGATGACTTCTCGTACATGTTTGATAATGCTTTTATCAAACCATATGGCGTCTTCTTATTGATGATGTTGTAGACAACATTCTTTGTCAATATTAATCTGACAATGCCCAAAGCATGTCGATCTAACAACTCCCAATCTGCCTGAGACATCGTTTCTAGTTTATTTTCAGACAATCACTGATACAAATTTTTCTGATAAAGATAATCTTCAATCTGCATCTTCCAAAATCCAAAATCGCTTCCATCTAATTTTTCAATTTTCACTTTCCCGTCTTCTGCCATTGCTCCCACTTGTATGAAAAAAACTTAAGCTCTTGACACCAGTTGTTGGGAACACAAAAACAATACAAGACGAAAGTTAATAACAAGAATGCAAGGAATTTACGTGGTTCAGTCAAAATGACCTACGTCCATGGCTGCACTAGATGATAGTTCTTATTCACACAATCAAGTTTACCATTATATGAGTATTTATAATAAAAGAAAAAGTAAATAGGTCAGACTCAATAACCCTTCATACTCCACATACTTAACAATAGGCACCGAGTACAATATTCTAATTCAAATTTCAATTATTTTTTACGGAATGTGTTTCCAATCGATGGAAACAACAATAAGTGCAATTAAACATTTTCATATTGAGCAAGGTTATAGATATTCTGTAATTGAGTCCAAGTCTGATAGATATGTTATTCTTTGTATCAATTATAGAAATGAGTATCAATGAAGACTCAAAGCTTTATTAAGTAAAATTTAGCAACAATAGGAGGTAAAAAAATTTGAAGCAAATCACACATGTTTGTCTAATGTGTGATTTATTGATCATTAAAATTTAGACTTAAATAAAATTGTTCATATAATTTATGAATTGGTCAAAGTAAATGTTTTTGTTCCTATAAAAACTTTGGTTGCAGAAATTAAAAGTCGTCATGGTTATTTAATTAACTACACAAAAGCTTGGATAGGAAAATAAAAAGCACTTGCCATAGTTTTTGGTGATTGGGAACAATCATACAAACATCTTCTTAGATGGTTCCAAGCTGTTAAAGATACTCTTTCCGACACAATTGTCCAATATATGGGTAATCCTTATTTTATAGATGGAGTGGAAGATCCATCATGTTACATTCTTGAGAGAGTCTTTTGGTCATTCAGGCCATGCATTAAAAAGTTTAACTATTGCAAGTCTGTCATTTAAGTTGACGAGATATTATTAACTGGAAGATATCACAGGACTTTAATAACAACTATTACATAAGATGAAATCGAAATTTATTTTCATTAGCATTTGTAATAGTCAAAGGGAGACAAAAGACGTTTTGATTTGATTTTTCCAATTGTTGAAACAATATGTTGCACCTCAACAAAACTTGTATATCAAAATAGATAAAGGTACAAAAATATTAGTAGCGTTACAATCTCAAGAGGTTGGGTTGGGTGGTATACAAACCAGATCAATATATTGCATTCGATATATAACTTCAACCTTCAACAAAAAGTTCAACAATATCCAGTTAAAGAAACAAATAATTAATATGGATAATATTTACTTCTTTACTTTTTATTTTTTTCATTAATAATTTTTATTTAATAACTTTTTGAGTTATTTTATTTTTTCAGCATATAAGATGAAACAACCATGACTTCTTGCTAAACTATCTGCTATGAAATTAGAGTCTCGAGAAGCTATTTCTTGGTTGGATCAAATTTCACTAGAAAAATGGATACAAGTATATGACGGAGGAAAAAGATACGAATATATAACCATCAATTTAGTAGAGTGCATGAACTTTGTTTTAAAAGGAGCATAAACTTTGTTAATATGTGTCCTGGTCAAAACCACTTTTGAAAGAATAAAATCGTGGTTTATCAAACGTGCTATGAAAATAGAGACAATGTTACGAGCAGGACATGAGACCTAGAAGAGACTTCTGTCTTTCTCAAAGAAGGCCAACAACAAGTTGGCATGTGTCGTGTGCAAAAATATATTAGAAAAATTATGAGTTTGAAGTCCAAAAATTGTCAAACCCAAAATATGGTAGACGAGAACAAAGATATACAGTCAAGTTGCATGATTGATTGATGGTGTGATTGTGGAGAGTTTCAAGATCTCCGACTACCTTGCTCACATGTTATAGTTGTATGTTCCGCATTGCCATTTGTAGATTGGTACATATATTTAGGTTAGATTAAATTTTCAAAGCTTATGAACATCAATTTCATCTAATACAAAATGAAAATTATTGGTCTCCAGTCCAAATTTTATTCTCAACCCAACTATATATACGGCATGAACAATCAAGAAGGTCTACCACGAGAAACTTCCATAACGAAATAGATCGGTCAAATTCAAATAAATCGAAAAAATACTCATAATATAGTACAAATAATCATACTAATGACCCGTATAAATAATAATAATATAATATATTTTATCTCTTTTAATTATTATTATTATAATTTGAATTTTTTTATTTATGAACTTATAAGCTTATAAACAAAAATATTATTAAAATATATAATATTATAAATATATAAAAAGTTGAAAATATATAATATTATTCTATAACTAAAATTAAACAAAAAAGTAAAAAATCTAAATAGTAACAGTTTCAATTAAAAAACAAAACAAATTTACACAATTCGTGCTTGACTTTTATTAAAAAAAAATTGGAAAGTCGTTATATGTAATCCGACTTCCTTTAAAAATAATAATAAAAAAATCTCATTCCAAAATGGTGGAAATATAATATTTTTTTACAACCAGTCTCACGAGATTACTTACTTATTTTCGTAAAATTTTTAAAATTTATTCATATTAATAAATTTCAATTAAAATTACATCAAATAGATAAATTTACTGAAAAAAATACGAATTTAAAAAACAAAGAAACAAAGGAAAAATATACATTATTTCGTATAATTATATACAATTATTTTTTTAGTATATCTTATTTAATAATGATAATAATAATAAATATATAAATTATTATTATTATTATATTAATAATTATTTTAATAATAAAAATAATTATAATTATAATCATAATCAGAAAAATAAGTATTATAAATATTAATAATCATCATCATATTAATAATAAAAATAAAAATTCTTTATATAATTATAATATTTTAAATAATAATAATAATAATAATATTTATAATAATAAAAAGATAAATAATAATGATTCAATATTAATATTAATAATAATTTTCATTAAAAGGAAAATTTATAATTTTTATTAAAATATTATTTTTATCATTTACATCAATCAAATCAAATCACTATTACGTTTTCTTATATTTTCTTTTTATTTTTTCTATATTTTTTTTATTATTTTTCCTTAATCCAAAAGATCCTCTTTCATTTCTTTTTTTTCTTTAAATATATCATTTTTATACTCTCTTAAATTCATTCTTTAATCTAAATAAATACTTGAAAAATTATGTATTATAATCTAATTCCCCAAACATTTTACAGATACTTTTAAAACGTGAGAAGAATAGAAAAAAAGAAGAAGAAAAGAAGTAAAAATAGAGAGATTAATTATTATTATTATTATTATTATTATTGATAAAAATATTATTAAATGGATATATTTAAATAATGAATTGTTAATGTATCATAACCCTACTCACTTAAGCATTAAGCACCTAAACACCAAAACACAAGTGCTAATTCCATATGCTTTTTTTTCTTTAACATTTTCAGTAGACAATTATTTACACATTTTTATTAAAATGATATTTATTTTTATTTTATTTAATAATAAATATAGACTAAAGTATAATTTTCACTTCTAATTTTTATGAGAGCATATTATATATATATATATATATATATATATATATATATATATATATATATATAAAGAATAGGCGAAAAAACATTACACTCAAGACACAATACAAATAAAGGTATTAACATTATTATATTTTCATGGTGATTCTCATGTAAGAAGATTTAAAAGAAAGTGAGTGTAATTATTTTCAAAACTAAACCATTTAAGGGGAGTTATCACTTCAACCAAAATTAACACCATTAATATAAAAATTTGATGAAAACACCAATTTGATCCGTTAAAAAGAAAAAACTGCAAAAAACATTTATTTAGAAACTAAAATGAAACCAATAAATAAATTAGATACTAGAGATATATTCTATTGTTTTTAATCTGTTGTTCAAGAACAAGGCGGATGCACAACCTTAGGACTATTCTAAGTGCCTGTTTGGTATATATAACTAAATTACATCTAATCCACACATCAAGCAATAAGTAATATGAAATAGCTTGGTTTTCGTGACTTTTACGTGCGTTCTGGCAGATAGATACTACCCAAAACCAACCAGACTAAATATATGATTTGAAACTGCTATAAATCCATTACATACAACTACACACGTGATTTGAGAGAACGCTAGAAGACCCGCTTCTTCAAGAACAAAAGGCTAATCTAAATATATGGTTTAAAACTAATCTAATTTCCACTATTAGTAGTGTTAGCTTACAGATAAAGACCGAGACCGAATAAAACTATACAGTATCTACTCAATACACAGCTAACTTGAGCATTTAATTTAACAAAGAAAGATCAGATCCCTGTTGCTTTCGCCAACCTGATGTCATTGCTAGCAAGCGAACTACGAACTTCTGGTCTAGATGCGAGCCACCATGGCATAATTCTTTTATGGCCAACTTCTATGCTAGACGCCTATACTAGTGTATCTATACTAGTGTACGGACACGATAGTGCTTCGTTACGGAATTGCTATGACTTCTGAAGAACACATTTCTCGTACAGGGCAATGATAGCTTTCTTGTTGGGATTCTTCAAATTAAGCAGCTGATCACCGTGGTTATGTTTTGTCAGCTCTTGCTTGAGCTTCTGGACAGTAAATCTCGTATAATCATCCACGTTAGTATGCTGACTATGGATGTCTGCACCACCCCTAATGGAACCAACATCATCCAGACTTGTAAACTCAGGTGGATTGGATGTAGTCTTAGATCTCTTTGTCCCCTTCAAAATTCTTGGTCTGGAATCCATGTCCTGAACAGATTCCACACCCACATCATTATCTACCCTCAAACGCTTTACACGAGAGGCAGTTTTTAGTTCACTGTCCAGTATTGTTTCATTCAGTCGAAACTTGGTCAGTTCTTGGTGCAGAGAATCAATTTTTGCTTGCGCGAACTGTAACTGTAGAGAGAGAGAGTCAGCCCTGCTATTTGCCTGAGCACATGCTTCACGTTCTGTTTCCAAGAGTTGATCAAGAATTTGTGTGTTATTTCGCCTGCTTGTTCCATCTTTCTCCAACAGTGAATCTATATCCGTTTCTCTCTGTTCCACCTTTTCCTCTAGTGTTGAAACCCTAAGAAGTGCGTCTGTCTCTGAATCCCCCTCTCTTAGCAATTCATTTTCCAAATAATCTTTCTCCCTCTCCAAATTTTCAATTTTCCTCTCAGCCCTCTCAACATGTGCCAACCTCTCCATTGCAAGCCTTTGCATCTCGCTCTTCTCCTTCTGAGCCAAGTCAGCTTCAGCCCTAGCTTTGTCAGCTACTTCAGCAGCCCTTACAGCTTCTTTTTCAGCATTTTGACATCTCTCCTTGACTTCCTCAATAGTTTTGCACTCAGATTTGTACTCCTCCTTTAGATGGTTAATCTCCTGTTGAATCACCATCACATCTTTCTCATATGACAGAGCCCTGGAATTTTCAGTTTTCAATCTCTCAGTCAACTTATTAATTTCAAGCCTCAGTGGTGATATTTCTGATTCATAATTTCTTATTTTTGACTCTGCAGCCTGCACATATTTTTCAGGTCAGACATGGTATTTAAACCCAAAAGGTCAACATGTGTTTCATAGACAAAACAAAAAAGTCAACTACAGAAGTATCCAAATTGGACTCATGTTTGAAAAATGTTTCTCTGGCGTGCATTGTTGTTTAAATCCAGTGCTACTCGGTTGAAATACCAACCATGACGTAGAAATTCAAATACTATCAACTCCAACTATCAGTTCGTTTTTTATTTCTTTTATTTTGGGGGAAGAAGGGGGGTGGAAGGGGGAGGTCAGAGTAGTAAATATATTACGTAATTCGTTAAAAACATACATAAGATAAATCTCGTCTTACTAAGAGCATTTAATGTGCTCGATGTGGCAAATACTCGATCTGTCTAATCTGAGCATAGGAAAATGATACGAAGGTGCATGTAAAAGCAAAATAGTTTATAAAACAGTTTTCTTGAATTATCTAAACAGGCATGAATGTTACCTTCAATTCCAATTTCAAAGTTGTTAAACACTGCTCGGCATGCTCAATTTTGGCAGTTTTCTCCTTTATTTTATCTTCCTGTATAAATCAAGGAGAAATGAATAAGAACTCCATTCTCCATCCCATTCATCATGTACAACATTAACAAGCTTACTGTGTCACAGTGAACTTTATGCAATACCAATTCTTGGTAACCAGATATCTGCAAAAGTGAATTGTGAGAACATCAGAGAGCTTAGCTTACGTTTTCAGCCAAAGTGCAAGAAAACTCTTCTCTTAAAGCATCTTCCCTCCATTGTGTTTGCTTGTTTGTGTAATCCTGCACAATTGCTGCCTTCTCTAGAGCAGCTTTTGCTTCTCTAACAGCAATGTCATATTTCCGCTTCCACTCTTCAGCCTCCTCTCGAGCAGACTGAGATTGCTCCCTTGTTGCAGACAACCTTGCTTCGGCAGCACTGCAACGTGACTTGAGAGCTTCTATTGAAGAACTAGCTTGGTCCTCCTCAGATTTCTGCCTTGATAATACTTGTTCATATTTTCTTTTCCAATCCCTGGATTCTTGCTTGGTAGAATCCAATGTTTTTGATAAGCTAGAATATCTCTCATCCAACGAGCGACAGCTTGCCTGCAGATCAGTTACGCGGTTCACATAACCATCAGTTAGTTCCTTCTTATCATTGATGGCATCGTCATAGCGTTTAATATACTCTGACTTTTCACTTTCAATGGTTTCCAGTCGCTCATTAAGCAGGGTCATCTTATCTTCAATCAGTCGACAGTTTAAACTGAGAGAACTCTTGTGAGATTCAACTTTATCTATCAGTCTCCTGGTCAGGTCTAGTACCGGGCCTGCAAAACTAGTGTCACCAACAAGTAAATTATTAAAAGTCAATTTTAAAGGAACTATGGAAATCAATATCTGCAGACAAACCTTTGTTGCAAGAAGACAGCAAGTTTTTGCCACTTCCCAGGAGCTTCAATGGATTTTTCATATTCACATAAAAGAGCATCAAAAACCTACACAAGAGATACATAATCAAGTCGGTTTGACATTTTGATGAGGCCACTATATATGGTGCAAAAAGGAAGAAGATAGACAATGTAAACAAGTTCTTTTTCGCTTTTCTCCCTTTGGGATCTTCATATTGCGTAAGATGGATTAACTAATTGCAATTGCAAATTGTCACGTGAGAGATTACATATGCTCTACATTCTACGACCTCTTAAAGAAAAAATTGATAACCTTGAACGAACACATCATCCAGAGCTAAAGATTTCTTTTCCACTTAAGAAGAAGTTGATAGCCCAAAAGAATGAATTTGTCACTTAAGACTTATTTGATTTTGTTTTATGTTGCTTTTTTACTTCTTAAAAACAGTATAGTAATCAATTTTGAAAAATTGTTTTTGAGAATAAGTTGGTAAAAAAACTCATTTGATATAATGTAATTGCTTGTGAAAACACATATCATTAATTAAAACTAAAAACTAAAAAGGAAAAAAAATTATTAGTTTCCGTGATTTAGATTTTAAAAACTAAAAAAAAAAACTGTTTAATAAAACAAATATTAAACAAGTTTTTAGTTTGAAAAGCTAAAAAACTGAAAACCATTTTTAAAAATAATAAATAAACAAACCCATTATAATTGTTTCTATTGTTTTCTTTACGACAACAAAAGCAATGAAGTATTTAATATAAAAATGAAAGAACATTGACAAGAAGATATATAAATTATGTGCAAATGAAAACATTTTACGTAGGTTGACAACAATCTTGAAGCATACAGAATTGGGCTCTCTAAAGTGAGGGAGTGCACTTAGAGAGAAGTAGAGAATAGTGCAGAATTATAGCCGATGATTAGAAAATTCAAGAAATTAACAACTTTATGATTTCTTATTTATCTACAGGAATATTATCACTAAGTTACAGGCAAAACAAAACCTTGACAGATATCATACAGAAGAAGGGAGTGCTGAGCGTTGGAAATTGCATAATAATAATTGTTCAACTTACCAAAGTATCCTATATACATTGTAACTCAGGAAGTACAGTTAGAATTAATTAATCTTCTCTTGTGAATTGCATTATGTATTTACTAGTTTGTAATCATCATGTTATAAATCTCCAGAGGGAGAGTGCATTTTCACTCAAGCTTTTCCATTCAGTCTTGAAATATTATCTCCTTCAATCTCAAGTCTGAGAAAATTTTGCGGCTAAAAAATTGTTTCAAAATAAGTTCTGTAGCACAATGTAAAATTGCTTAATCTGCTATCCTGTAGAATAATGAATAAAACTTGAGCCTCCACCATGTTTTCACATTTCACATATATCATGTTTAGTTTACCTTGTTTTAGAGAAATAATAACTTTTATTCCGGCTTCATTGGAGAGTTTTTGAAAGAAAATGTAAATATTTTCCACAAAAATCAAGACCAAATATGCTTATACTTCACGTACAGTTGAAAGAAAACCCCATTCTACATATACAGCCGTTTATCAGTTCATAAGACTTCTATCTTGCTAAAAGTATGTTTCATGCTTCAGCTCCCTAGTGATGGTTTATAAGTTTCCATTGTACATCATCAAAGAATTTTATAACAAAGAAAATAACCTCATCTAGTAACCCGAAACAAATATCCTAATAAATATATTGCACATCTATGATTCAGAAAGCAACAGAAAGGTGAGGTGAAAAGAACTCAGCAGAAATGCATAAAGCTAATATGCAACCTAGTTATCTTCAACAATGCTCACAAGATATCTCCAAATTTTAAAAATAAATATCTTCAGTAAACAAAAACCAACAACAGAGTACTAAAGCTCTATGAATATTTGCACTAAGCCAAACAACAATTACCTTGGCAACATTATCTATCTTTGCATCAGAAGAATTACAAGCCGCCCTCAGCCTCTTTTCCATAGACTGTACGGCATTAGAGCATTGTAGATCAGCTTCCATATATGCATTCCTCGTATAATCCTGTCCGAAGCCAGTAAATTAGTAGTACAACATATAATATTAGCCCACCCCCAAACAGGAAAATAGCCACACCCATTATAAATAGTGTAAGAATTATAGTCACGTTAGGTTAGTCAAAGATAAAAAATCAGAAGAATTCATTTCAATAATTCTTTAAATTTTAACGCAAGCAATAGGAAATAAATCTAAGCAACTGATAGGAAAAATTGTAAAGCCGTTAGTCAGTTCTGACCAGGCTGTCAGGTGTCAAGATGTGAGGGTCTAACCTTCAAAACCAAGCGATGGCTTTGTTATCGAATTATACAGATTAAAATACAAACAGAAAGACTAATAATGAAAGAGATAATATAGCCAAAGCCACCTTATATGAAATATTCTATTTGGAACGAAAACCACATAACTGATCCTATGTAGCACGACACATTTATTTCAAGGTTCTAATTGCAAACTAGCAGAAACCCTGCCAGGCTCCCACTAAATCCTTTGAAATTAATTCAACAGTGAGCAGCTGCAGCACAGTACAGTTTTTCCAGGAGACGTGTCCAAGTAGCTTATGAGTTTAAAGAGACTAAAACTTCTCAAATTAGAAAAGCTAGTTTATTCTCTCAACAAAACGGAGAACAGAGATAAAAAATCCTCATTTTAAATTACACATAATATGCTGCCCACAACCCAACCCCCACCCTAAACCCATCAGACAAAAAAGAGAGTGACCTTAATAAGACTCAAGACACAAGAATTAAAGATGAGACAAATTAGCTGTAATTACAGTTCTAGCTAGGTGATTGGAGTTGTAGGAACAAGAACTTTGCTTAAATAGTAAGAGGATGTAGAGGAGGCTTCACTAATGTTGAAAGTCCCACATCGCCTACCTCATATCATTTGGTATGGTTTAAATACATGTTAGGCTACTCCACATATTGCCAATTGGTTTTATGTTGGAACCTTAACATGGTATCAGAGCCAAAGCCTAACATGTTTCCGGTTATTGTCATGGGCCAAAAGTTGCCCTTTAGTTGGGTCAAAAGTACCCTTTGCCTGGTCCGGCAGGCTTCGTTGGAGGGTGTGTGTTGAAAGTCCCACATCGCCTACCTCATGTCATTTGGTATGGTAACATGTTTCCGGTTATTGTCATGGGCCAAAAGTTGCCCTTTAGTTGGGTCAAAAGTACCCTTTGCCTGGTCCGGCAGGCTTCGTTGGAGGGGGTGTGTTGAAAGTCCCACATCGCCTACCTCATGTCATTTGGTATGGTTTAAATACATGTTAGGCTACTCCACATATTGCCAATTGGTTTTATGTTGGAATCTTAACAACTAAGAATTGTTAACATCGAGGAATCTGTTGGTCAGTTTAAAAGGGAAAGCCTTTGTTGGAGGGAAACCTTTGGAGAATTCTCTCCCTTTTTCTGTTCGTCATTCAATCTACATGGAAATTTTTATTTTTTTTCACTATTTTTTGTTCCAGTGTTCCTTTCCATAAAATATTAGACTTATGTGTTCAGTTCACAACAATTTGACCTGGCATACAGATCTCTTATCCAGGAAGAGATGGAACAAAGGATAGATGTGTTAGATAGCTCGGCGGAGTTTCTGAGAAGGACAACCAGCAAGAATAGTGTAGTTATGCTATCTGGACTGAAATGAGGCAAGGACAATATTCAAGGATTTCGGCAACTACAGAATAAATGAATGAAGAGAGCATTAGCATTGAAAGGGATGACATCTGGGCAGCCCCATGGACTACCCAAACTTACTCAAATATAGGCATCATTGGGCCCAGTCAGGAGTACCTTCGGCCCAACACACAATTCAGACACGGGTGTGGAAGAACATAGAGCATCAGATCTGTCAGTAAAAAGGTCCACCACCACTAGCATATTCTCAAGAGAAACACAGGAGCTCAAAAACTTCAGTATCAAGAATACCAAAAGAAGGGAAATTTTGTCAATGTGGCCAGCCATTTGATCCCACTTACAAATGCCCAAAAAAAGAAATATGGAGACTACAATCTTGGTAATGATAGAAGATGAACAGGTAGATAATAACAGGAGAATTATCCAAACTCAAGTTGAAAAAACGTTATGGGAAGATGAACACAAAAAATTCTCACACAGGGGAATCCCAAATTCAACCTTTAGGACAAAAGAATGATAGAAGAATAAAAGACAGATGAGGCAAAGCAATTATAGTAGTTAGAAAAAAAATAATCGCATGGTTAAGAGTAGTTATAAAAAAAGAATCTGGTTACTGTTGCGAGAATATGGACTCGGCTTAAATAATAGGACAGTAGAAGAGGTTTCATTATGAATTGTTAGCATGCAAGGAACTAAGTAGCAGCTCAGTTGTGAAAGGGCAAACTATTTGAAAGGGAAACCCTTGCAAGGTGAATCTCACTTTTTCTTTGGCATTCAGTGTACATCACAGAAATGATCTTGCGTCTTTCAGACTAAATTGTAGGTTTCGTAACATACCTGAGCAAAAATAAGATTTATATCTACTTTGATATGCAAATAACTTTTACCAAATAATGTTTAATCAGTTTATTGCACTCAAATAATTTTGAATATTCAATACCTCAAACACCTTTTTGAGAAATTTCTGCAGCATGCCTTCATATTTTGTTCGTACTACACCAACACCTACAGCACTAGCAGTAAAAGCTCCCATTGAAATTCGAACTGCTTTTTCATGTGCTTCCCTCAAAGCAACCTACAAGCATTGTAAAACAAATATGAAAATAAATGAAATATATAATCAACATTCAATTTGAATAACTCACTTCGTCAGGTGGCTTAGTTCGTTCAAAAGAGGACATATAAATTTCAGCAGCAGAATCATATGCCCTACGGCACTCAGCTTCTTCAACACTCTGCAAGTCAACAACAAAGACAAACAAAAATTAAGGAATTTATGCTTGGCACACTTTTGTCCCAAAATTAACTTTTTTATTATCCAAAATTATTTAGTATGTATAACTACTGAATTTTTCTTTTTCATTTTTACTTCAACAATGCAGCTATGTTGACATAAAAAATTAAATCAATCTCAATTACTGACATTTATAATTTTAACGACTAATTCATAAAAACAAATAGAAATAAAGAATTAAAAAACCTAATTTCTTAAAGGAAAAAAACTAAAATAGAATAAAAAATTAAAATTTAAAATGTATCTAGTTTGGTTTGTAAGTTATGTCACGCTCTTTATGGTCTCAAGCAATCATCCTATGCTTGGTTTAGGAAATTTAGCTACATTTTCAAATCTTTGGACTGAAACGTAGTAAAGTAGATCATTCAATTTTTTACTATTGTATCTTTCCTGGGACATGTTTTACTTAATAGTATATATTGATGATATAATTAATATTTTGAATGATGATGCTAAAATATCTCAACTAAAAGAACACTAGTATAAATATTTTCAAACCAAGGCTCTTAGGAGCCTCAAATACTTCTTGAGTATTGAGGTAGCTCAGTCATAAAAAGGTGTCGTAATCTTTTCTCTAGACATCCTAAGAGAAACATGCTTGATTGACTATAGATCAATAGATAGTCCCATGGACCCAAATCAAAATTTGATGACAGAATAAAGTGAATCGTTCACTTATCTAGAAAAATATAGAAGACTAGTTAGAAAACTTATTTATGTAATTATTAATAAACTTGATTTGTCTTTCACAGTTGGTGTTATTAGTCAGTTCATGCAGGCTCTAATAATTGGAATACTATCATTCGTATCCTAACATAACTCAAAAAGGCTCCGGGACAAAATGTACTATATGAAGATAAAAAAAACACCCAAATCTCTAGATATTGTGATGTTGATTGGGCATGACCCCCTACTGACAAATGCTCTACTACAAGATATTGTGTTTTCCCAAGTGGCGTGACTCATCCATTGTTATTCCACTTCATTTGGTTCTTATATTCTTTCCACTTATTCTATGTTATGTTGATTTTTATTTCTATTTGGCTACCATGTGTTTGATTAATTGTCTCAACATCATATTTCCTTTTCCTCCTTTTGAATCCCATTTGAAATGAACATTCACATCTAGATAACATCATGTTATCTTAATGTCCAGTGGGAATTTTCTTTAGGGTTTTTTCCTTAGTTTTTTTTTTTTAAGTCAAATTGCACCCAAATCTTTGTTGGAAATTCAATGTTTTAAGGTGCAAACACTTCTTTAATTTGGCCAAAATAATTCTTTTGCTTCTCACAATTTTTCTAGACTTAAACACACAATTTTAAAAGGAGAATATGAAGCTCTTAGTCCCTATTTTCGGATTCCCTATCAATTCAATTTATGCACTCTTCACTAAGGCATTTTATCAAACACATTTCAGCACTAGAATTTTAACCAAGAAAACTCAATGGAAAACAAGACATAGGACTCAAGCAAAGCTAGGAAAACACAAGAAGACTTAACCCAAAATAAAAGAACATTATAGCATGGAAACAAGGGAGGAAAACAGCCAAGATAATGCCCAGATTTTCGCACAAAACTGCCCAGAATTTTTCAGCAACCAAAAATGCAACTCCTCACCCAATGTTGGACCAGATGCACCAATACATGGTGAAAAAAATCCAGACTTGTTATTGGTTCAAGGGAGCACAAAAACAACTAAAAGGCAGCAGAAAGACAATGGTATTAAGCATTAAACATAGGCAAGACAGCAAAGAAACTAGCTCTGATACCAAATGATGTAGGCCCCTTTTATGGATTATGGTTTGAGATAATGATTAGATTGATTTTAGAGGAAAAAAAAAAAACCCAAAGAAAATCCCCATTGGACATTAAGATAACATGATGTTATCTAGATGTGAAGGTTCATTTCAAATGGGATTCAAGAGGAGGAAAAGGAAATATGATATTGGGACAATTAATCAAACACATGGTAGCCAAATAGAAATAAAAATCAACATAACATAGAATAAGTGGAAAGGAGATAAGAACCAAATGAAGTGGAATGACAATGGATGAGTCACGCCACTTGGGTGGTGGATACCCAAGATAAGTGGTGGTGCCGCCACTTGAATCACACTCAAGATAAGGCTAAGAGAGGGTGAGAAACACTCACAACACAAGCTGAAAAATTCTCACTAATTTTTTTCCCATCCAAAAGTCCCTTTACAAGGTGAATGGGAGCCCTATTTATAGGCTTGGATGGCCCCCAAATTACAATCAAATGCAGCTGAAATTACATGTAAATTAACCCTAAAGAATGGTCTAGAAACTAGGTTTACACCTTCTTAAAGGGCCAAAGATGTGGGTTGCTACAAAGGGGTGCTAAAAACACTTCAAAAATGGGTTTGATGCTTCCAAAAAGGTACAAAAAACGTGGCAGCACTTAGGGAGAGAAGGGGGATGCGCCCCTCCAAGTATTTGGTGGTTCCAAAGCCCAAAATGTGATGAGGGTGAGCTTATCCAAGGTGTGGTGCCTTCAAAAAGTCTTATAAAACAAAGGAAAATAAGTCCAATTAAAATTAAGCTTAAGAAATTAAAATAGAAAGTAAAGAGAGGGTTTTAGGAGATGCAAGGGTGTCTTTTCTAGTCATGTTTCTAGTAATCCTCCTAAGACACCCTTGATCTTCTTTTTTTGGACTCAAGGCTTCGTCATCTTGTCCCCCCACCACTTTAATTTTTTTCCTTTCCTTTTTTTTTTCTTGTTTCTCTTGTTTTATTAAATTCCACCTTTTTTCTTTTTCCTCTTCATTCAGTTGCTCCCAACCTTCCCAAAATAAAAGTTTCTTATTTTCTACTCAATACTTATTATTCAGCAACCCAATTACAACTAAACAAGGCAGTTCATCTTTCTCCGTAGGCGACATTGAGGTTAATTATGTTGGGATTGAGGAAGAGCCACATGATTAGAAATTTAGTGACATTTATCTTATGTGCGGAAAATACGTTGTGTATTTCTTATTTTGAAAAAAGATACAAAAGAGGGATAAATAGAATACAAAGTAATAAACCTATACACTAATCTATCCCTGAAAAACAGGAAAATATTCTCCCTATAAATATTGTACACAATTGTACATAAATAACGAAATAAAAATGATTATATTATCATTAAATTCTATCATAATTGAATTATACTAATTAATAGTATTGATATCCAACAGTCCCCCTCAATTTGGGTGGTAGATGTCTATCATACCCAGATTGGATCTAATGTTTTCATATGTATTCCTTGGAAGAGCCTTTGTTAGTATATTTGTTGTTTATCTACATGATGTAACATGGTCAACACTTATAATACCATGATCAATTTTTTCTTTAACGAAGTGTCGATCAATTTCCACATGATTTGTCCTATCATGGTGGACTGGATTCTTTGTTATGCTTATAGCAGTTTTGTTGTCACACATTATCTTCATAGTGTAATTGATTGGAATTTTGATTTCATCTAACATTCTCTTAAGTCAGATTCCTTCATAGATACCTTGAGTCATAGCTCTAAATTCAACTTCTGCACTACTCCTTGCCACTACAGGTTGCTTCTTGCTTCTCCAAATCACCAAGTTTCCTCACACAAAAAAACAGTAGTCTGTAGTTGATTTCCTGTCAAAGGGACATCCTGCCCAATCTGAGTCAGAATAGACTTCAATATCTATGTTTGAGTTCTTCTTGAAGTAGAGCCCTCGGCTTGGTGTACCTTTAAGGTATTGGAGTATTCTGTTTGTCATGTTCATGTTGGCCTCAGTTGGATTAGATGTATAGCGACTAGTCAGGCTAATAGCAAACCCAATGTTAGGCCTGGTGTGAGTTAGGTAGATTAGCTTCCCAATTAGTCTTTGATATCTATCTTTATCACCTGGTGGACTTTCTTTTTCACCTCTCTTTTACGGTTCTATGGTAGTATTGGTTGCCTTGCACCCAAGCATGTCAATTTCTTGAAGTAAGTCCAGTGTATATTTCCTTTGTGATACAAAAATATCATCCTTCGTCCGAGCAACTTTCATCCCTAGAAAGTATTTGAACTGGCTCAAGTCCTTAACTTCAAATTCTTTGGCTAAAAGTCTCTTCAAATGCTCGATTTGATCATAATCGTCTCCTGTGATAACGATATCATTAACATAAACAATTAACAAAGTTACCTTCCCTTCTGCGGAATGTTTGACAAATATCATGTGATCTGATTGACATTGGTTGAATCCATCTTCTTTGATAACCTGCGTCAATCTATCAAACCATGCTCTCGGAGGTTGCTTAAGGCCATATAAAAAATTTTAGAGCCTACACACCATGTTTGAGATTTTTTATTATTCAAATCCCGGAGGAATTTGCATATAGATTTTTTCTTCCAGTTCACCATTTACGGAGGCATTCTTGATGTCTAGTTGATAAAGTGTCAATCTAAATTTACAGCTAAAGAGAGTTTAACTCGGATTGAATTGAGTTTGGCCACCAGTGCAAATGTCTCTTCGTAGTCCACTCCATATGATTGGGTAAACCCTTTTGCCACCAGTCAAACTTTGTACCAGTTTATACTACCATCCGCATTGTATTTGATGGAGAATATTCACTTGCATCCAATCGATTTCTTCGCTTTTGATAGAGTGGTAATTTCTCATGTGTCATTTTTAACAAGGCCTGAACTTCTTCTGTTACAGTTGTTGCCCATTCATGTTGTTGGAGTGCATCTTGAACATTTCTTAAGATATGTATGCTGTCAAGAGCTACCACAAACGATCTATACCCCTGTGACAATTTTTCATAGGATACATAATTTCCAATGGGGTGTTGAGTGCAAGATCTCACTCATTTCTTAATGCAATAGGAATGTCAATGTCATCAATAGATTCAATATTAGAAACGATATTACCTAGGGAAAACTCATTTTCTAGAGCTTGATTTAATTCATGACTTTGTCTTGGAGTTGTGTTAGACTCTACTTCCTTTCTTTCAGGTGCAGTCTCGACTGGCTTTGAAGTTGCTACTGTAGTTTCCTCTGCTACAGATGCAGTCTTGGCTGGTTCTTCATTTGGGGCAGAATGAGCTAGCTCAAATCCCAAAAGTTGGGATTTTGCCACTTCAATTGGATAAATCTACTTCCCTTGAATGCCAATTTTAGGGTAATAAGGCTGATTCTCAAAAAAGGTGACATCCATGGTATGGTAAAATTTCCTAGTTTGAGGTTAATAACATTTATACCCCTTTTGTTGGGGAGAATAGCTGAGGAAAATACATTTTATGGATTTTGGGTCAAGTTTGCTGTGACGAGGATGGAGGTTATAGATAAAGGTTGAACATCCAAATATTTTCAAGGGAATGAATAAAAGGATACGACTAGTAGGATATGAGGTTTGGAGAGTAGAGTGAGGTGTGTTAAAGTTGAGGATTCGGGAAGACATTCTGTTTATGAGGTAAGTTGCAGAGAGGACAACTTCTCCCCAAAATTGCTTAGGTTCATTTGTAGCCAACATAAGAAATTTAGTCACTCCTATGAGATGTCTATTCTTTCTCTCGGCGACCCTATTTTGTTGAGAGGTATCTACACATGAACTCTGATGTATGATTCCATGTCTCTGAAGGTAGGAACTTAGTGCAGAGTGGTAATACTCTTGGCCATTATCACTCCTAAGTACCTTAATCCTACTTTGAAATTGTGTTTCCACCATAATATGAAAAAATTCAAATATTCTACCAACTTCTGATTTCTCCTTCATTAGGAACACCCAAGTGACTTGTGTGTGATCGCCTATGAAGGTGACAAACCATCTTGATCCTGTGACATTGTTTACCCGTGATAGTCCTCATATAATGCTATGAATTAGGGAGAAAGGTTGAGAGGGCTTATAAGGTTGAGGCGGGTATGAGTTGCGGGTATGTTTGGACAATTGACATGTTTCACATTGAAACAACTCCTGATTTTTATTGAATAATATAGGAAACATTCTTCTTAAGTACATAAAATTTGGGTGGCCAAGTCGATAGTGCCACAACATTACAGAATTTTTATTTTTAGGTATCACAACACAAGAGTTGGCCTGAGGTTCCGTCTCTAATGCTTCAGTTTAGAGGCAGTAGAGTCCATCACATTCTTTAGCAATGTCAATCGTCTCCCCCGTCTCCAAAATCTAAAATTCACATAGGGAAGAATTTAGTGACACTTCAAATCTTTTGTCAGTTTGCTAATGAACAGTAAATTACAGTCAAGTTTAGGAACATAAAGGACTGACTTCAGGTTAATATTTTGTGAGATAATAACTAAACATTTACCCATGACTTTAAAAAGAGTCTGATCAGTTATCCGAACTGTATAATTATTGTGGCAAGGAGTATAGCTTTTAAACACAGTTAAGTCTCCAGTCATGTGATCTGATGCTTCTAAATCAATGATCCATGACTTTGATTTTCCTGTGCTAGTATTTAAGGCATGCAAGAAATTATCTTTTTGTGCTAGTTGTACCAATTGTTTGCTAGAGAATTTTCTGTAGTGCTTCCATTTGCTCCTTGCTGAATGGAGATGGATTACAATTTACCTCTGTTGTGTTGTCTCTGCTATCCAGGTTTTTTGTTTGTTTTTCCTCTGAAGGCTTGTCATGAATAATCTAGCAGGTGTCCTTAGTATATCCCAACTTCTTGCAGTGATCGCACCAGGGCCGATTTTTCTTTTTAGATGGACGAGATTGGTTCCCCTTGCTGCCATTGTTGTGCCTTCAATGGGTGGGGCTGCACTTGACTTTCCAAGCATTACTTTCCTCGTGCTCTCCTCCCTTCTCATTTCTGAAAATACTTCCCAGATTGTTTTAAGAGGTTTGGTTCCAAGGATTCTTCCTCGGACTTCATCAAGTTTTGTGTTCAACCCTGATAGGAACTTGTAGATCCTATCTTTCTCCACCAATTATTTATACTTCTTATCCTCGATACAGCTCCATTAAACGTCTTCATATATGTCTAGTTACTGTCAATGTCGGCTGAGTGTATTAAAATACTCAATGACTGAGAAATCATCTTGTCACAGTTCATGGAGTATGCTCTTGATCTCAAATACTATAGATGTATTGTCAACATTTGAGTAGGTTTCCTTCACTACATTTCACATCTCCTTGGCAGTGTCATAGTACATGAAATTCTCCCCAATTTTATTGTTCATGGTGTTGAGTAACCATGACATAACTAAACTGTTTTCTAGTTGTCATTTGTTACAGTTAGAGTCACCCTCTATTAAACACTTAGAGTCTCCAGTGATGTAATCTTCCTTCCCTTTTCCTTGAAGGAAGATTTTAACTGAACGCACCCATTAAGGGTAATTTTGGCCATTCAATTTGTGACCAGTGATAGGAAGAACAGGTCCTTCAACCAAATTGGTGGCCGAACCTCCTGTCTTGTTCTATTCAATGGTTGGCTGCGCTAGGTTAGGGATGGTCCAGATCGAGCTCTGATACCATGGGAAAAATAAATTGTGTATTTCTTATTTTGAAAAAAGATACAAAAGAGATATAAATATAATACAAGGTAATAAACCTATACACTAATCTATCCCTGAAAAACAAGGAAATAATCTCCCTATAAATGTTATACATAATTATGCATAAATAACAAAATAAAACTGATTATATTATTATTAAATCCTATCATAATTGAATTATTCCAATTGATAATACTGATCTCCAGGATTATGTTTAGCTGTTATTCTAATTCTAGTACTTTAACTTGGTCATTTTCGCTTTGATTTAATTGTTAATTGAAATTCTATATTTATTATTATTAACAATTACATGGTTGTCTTTCATTATTTTTTGCATTTCAATTATATTTATGCATTTTTATTTATACATATGTATATGTAGTATTTTTTTCTTTGTCCATAATGCTTACGCCATAACCTCATGACATCCAATATATTTTTGTAAAAGAATTTTGGGTTACTAATATTTTCCATCATCTAATATATGTAACAGATTCTTGGAGTACGGCTTATAATAAGTTGAACAACTTCGCTTAATGTCAACTAATTTTATGATGAAATTTGATATGATATAAGAGTCATTAACTCATCTTAGCCATTGCTTATTCTAATAAGCTTGCCTAATTTAGCAAGCATCGATGGGGTATAGAGAAATCTCACATTGCTTATCACCTCAATTCTTGTAATGTGGCTTATATTTGTCAAATAACTTCACTTAATGTCAATTGGTTTTAATATTAAATTTTGACATGGCATCAAAATCTATAGCTTATCTTAGTAATTGACAATTCTAGTTGTTGGACAATTTCACTTAATTTCAATAGTTTTTAAGATAAAATCGAACATGGTAGGATAGGCTCTCAAATTCCTAGGACAAAGCTTTCGAGAAGAACAATGATAATCTCAAAAAAAAAATGACACCAATCTAAAATTCTTATTGTGCAGTGTATTACTAACGTTTCTGAAAATATATTCAATATATTAGATATTACCACATATGACCAGAATTAGAAATATGGTTTACTAACATGAAATAATTCCTCCATTTCACTTTGTGTCATTTAAGCTTTTCCATAATTTTTCAAATTGAATATCATTTACTTCTCTCAATGCAATAAATACAATTTCATTCCAATATTACCTAAATAAATGCTCACACTAATTATTTATAGAAAAGATTGTATGAACACTTTAGTAAAAGTTTTCTATTCACTAATTTATTGTTTTCTTAATATGTATTAGAAAACCATATACCACAAATAAAATGAAATGGAGGGAGTATTTATTTTATGATATGACGTGTTATTCACGTTCCCTTTTCACATGCAGCGTTGATTTAATGATGGACACACTAACCTGCCAGGAGGAAGAAATTGTAGGCACAGCACCATGATTGAGAGCATCCAGATAAGATTCAGTGATACCAATCAACAGAGGACCTGTCATCGTAATTGCCCCAACTTGTTTTGGCCTTGCTCTATCAAAAACAAACTTTGTCAAAGCATCTAGGCCAGATCGAAATTCAGGCCGTAACTTTTCCAACTGCACATTGAAGATAAATTTTTTTCAAGAAATAAGAGGCAATAAAATGAAAGAAGAAAGAATACGGTAGCTGGTATGACACAAACCGATATCTGATCAAGTCGCTGTAGATCATTTTCATTGTTTAGAGGTCGCACAAGAGTGAAGCATCCCCTATCTGGGAATAAGGCCCGAATGGAATCTCGAATCTGCAGATTAATATTGTCAGAAAATTGCCACTTCCAGATAACAAACCAAGTTCATCATTTCCAACAGACTTAGAAGCTTATGAAATGCAGTAGGTTTAAAATGACAATACAGAACTATAATGAGCGCAAACACTACAATAAAATAAAATATGCATTGGAAAGTAGACAGGGCAATACTAGATTCAAATTCCTGATAAATTCATGGACGAGACTTAAGTGATAGGCAATTTTATTTTGGTGCTATTTTCCAATGAAGACACAAATGTAACAGTTAATCGATGATAATATTAACTTTGTTATAATTGTTAGATGATTCAGAAATAGCACTAAAAATACCAATAAAGGCATCTCTGTTTGATTTTTTTATTGCCCATATTATTTTGAGATGTAGCAAAAGCCAAGTGTGTTCTATATTGGTAAGGACTCTCAGTTTTCAAGTTGTTAGCACAGAAGACAAGGATTAGGGGCAGTTCAAACTGTTAGTTTGGGGCAGTTAGAACAGTTAGGGAAAATTAGAGAAAATAGTTAGAGCATATCAACTAAATAAATATTAAGGACACAAGGTTGGAAACAGGTATATTATCCATCAGAAATTGCTGGATTAAAGTCTAGGATTCATAAATGTCGAGACTCATGAATAGTTAATATTATGTCCTTATAGGATTCCATTTACAATATATTCACTCTTCTTAAATGTAATTAATTCTGCAATGTACATAAAACACTACTGAGTGCATTTTCACTCCAGTAATTCATCAAAAGTAAGTCTTGAACTGAAGGATTAATTTCATTCAGAGAATCAGGAAGTCCTTAAGAAAGGGGAAACCATTTGTGAAGGGAAAATTATTTCTCCAATTATCAGGCATTTAATAAAATTGTTCATCCTTTGGCATGTCTCTTTATCAATTTCAGTTCACATCAAGCCAATAATTTCCAAATTATTGAGGGATCATGTTCAGACAGGTAAGCCTTGTGAGGCAATAATAATAGTTTCTGTGAAAAATAAAGAAAAAATAAGTAGAAAGGTGCCTCATTTTTGGCAGTTATATCTCTTCCACTCCCTTGGACAGGCCTTAAAGCAATTTCCAGATAGTCACGGGGTGTTATTTTTCTGTTATCTTCTACTAGGTCCAAATAAAAGTCCTGCCAGCAAGAGGAAAGACATATAAGGCAAAGACTGAAACTAGACACCTGAAGTGGGCTAAAATGGTAGCAAAGCACGTGGTAAAAAAAAAAGAATTTCAAGTTTCCCAAACTATGTGATGGAACTATGACAATAGGTTTGTAAACATCTTACTCTTAGAAGCCAGACAAAAATGGGGGAAAATTGTCCCAGTTCAGATGCAGAACTACTCCCCCCAGATGATCTAACACGAATGTGCTTTGTCATCTGAGTCACAAGAGAAAGTCGATCGAGGGCAGCCTCATCGATACCACCCATCTAGGTAAGATATAAGAGGGAATAAATTTGTATGCTCATGAGCGGACCCACAACTGGTCACTAAATTATGAAATTCAAATAATAAGTAGAAGTAAAAGCACGCTCAATTATGCCTAAATATAAGCTTTCATAAGTTGCCTCAACCTGGTTATAAATAAACATGCTAGACAAAAGGACAGCCAATGAGAAGATCTGGGTGCTATATGTTCCCTGTACATTGAGAAAAGAGATAACCAAAGGAGAAAAACATTAAAACGAATGGAAATGAGTTAACTACTTGTAATACTCCAATAGTCATCAATATCCAAAATCCAGTGATTGGAACACCAAATAGACCGAAAATAGAATAAAGCATATGTCTATCACTTAGAGAACCCAAGCTAACCGTTTGATCATAAGCATCTATTCCTTCACTGTCTAATAGCAGGAGATTGTACTCTGTTCCATCAAATGCAGTCCTCTTCAACGGTGTACTCCACAACCAAAGCCCTTTGGTACATGGACGATGAGTTGATGCAACTTGAAATCCACTAGTCCTCCCTAGAAGCTGCAATATAAAGATTAGAGGAAATGAGAACAAAGTCTCAATACTTTTTATCACAAAACTGATAGAGTAATTAGTGCACAATAGTTACTCAAAATGACTGACTCTCATGACAACAGGAAATTAGTATACGGTGACTTAGTATGAAAGTTGGTTAGCATGCCAACTGAAACTGACTTGTCAGATTGTGTGATAGAGCAAATTAATTTATCGGATGTATAAATAGGAACGTTGTAAGGAAAACTTTTCAGATTAATAAGATCAAACACTATTCATTCTGAAATTCTCTCCAATATTGTCTTATACTTTCTCACACTTTCTCTCTGTTACTAGATAGCTTCTTTCAATCGCATTTCACTCGGATAAACATATCCAAGTAGGGGAGAGGAAGAAGAACAAGTTATTTTCCATATCATGAAAAAGAAGCATTAGAGCTAATAACATTTTGTGATGAGGCAAAATATTTACTTGAAGGCAACCTTAAAATGGTTTATCGAGAGGGTGCTTTCATTGATCTTATAGTTCATGACAGGAACGAGACCACAGTATAAGCTCCACACCCAGAATATAAAAACCATCACTATTCTTCACTTAAAGTTCAATGTCAAAGAGTTTAACTGACATGTAAAAACGGTTCACAACTTTTTCTCTTCCACACCACAATAGGTGATTACAATCTACAAAAACACAGACACATCCACAACGCCCAGTGTTTCATTAGGTACACAAAAACGGCCCGCAATCAAATAATCATTGACTACGTCGTAACAAAAAGGTTATCAACTTAAAATTACGTCTTTGAATCACTATTCATTCTGTTAGGAATGCTGTCCAAAATCAACCAGAGGTCCAATTGCTGTCAAAGCCCAATAAAGATGTTACTGAGATAGAGAATGCCAAGGATGAGTCCAAACCCAAACGTATCAGCAAAAGAGCCAAAGATTGGGATAATTATGTGCATTAGCTGATGTGTTAATTTGTCAATAGGATTCATTCTAGAAGGAGTTTGTTAGGGGAAGATTTTATTCTGTGTTTTTGTTTTTACCATTAGCACTTTTCTGTTATTGCTTTCGGTATTTACATGATGGGAAGGAATGGAATGAGTAAGGGAATTTTATGTCAATCTCTTTTCTCTCTTAGTCCTTGCTTAGGAGGTTCTCTTTGCCTCTAAACAGAGATATCCCTTTTATCAATTGGTGCTTTCACATGGCGGACAACATACGTTCCAAAACTTTGGAGCGCTTGGAGGCGACGATGGAGAAATTGCTTCAGAATGACGAGTCCTTCGCGTCTCGCTTGGATGAAATGTTTCTTCGTGTCACTGCCATTGAAGCAGCTCAACCCATTATTCAACACGCTGAGTCTTTGGTAGGCGGTGCTTCAAGGGGCTCGGGTCCAACAGCCAATTCCGGAACTGACAACACTCTTTCTCAACATCATTTTCATAAGCTTGATGTACCCTGTTTCGATGGAACAGATCTAATAAGATGGATTTTCAAAATCTCTCAATTTTTCTCTTACCATAAAACACCAGAACACGAACGACTCATTATTGCTTCCTTTTATTTAGATGGTCAAGCGCTAGCTTGGTACCAATGGATGTCCAACAACCATCAATTAATTTCGTGGTCTCAGTTTCTGCGTGCCCTTGAGCAACAATTTGATCCTACATCCTACGACGATCCTCGCGGTAAACTTTTCAAACTCACACAAACTTCGTCAGTTGTCAATTACTTGTCGGAGTTTGAAAGTATAGCAAATCAAATTGAAGGCCTTCCATCTCCTTTTATATTGAGTTGTTTTGTTTCCGGATTGAAACCGATGATCCAGCGGGAAGTTCTTGCTCATCAACCCGTTTCTTTAACACAAGCCATCGATTTGGCTCGTTTGCACGAAGATAAGGTTCAATCTCTTCCGCGAGTATTCAATCCACGTCCAATTTCACAATGGTCCCCACCGGTGGTTTCTCGCACCACTACTCAATTTACACCGAAGCAACCAACACTTCCCAAATCGTTTCCGCCGTTATTGCCCACTCCTCTGGCAAAAGTCCGTTATAAATAATTAACAGAAACTGAAATGGCTGAAAAAAGAGAAAAGGTTCTCTGTTTTAATTGTGACCAGCGATACTCCCGAAATCATCGTTGCCTAACGAAGCTTTTTCTTTTGGTTACTTCCGAGGAGAAACTTGATGAACCTTCTGGTGACCTTATCAGTGCCCAAGACGACCTTTCATTCCATGACCCTGGACCTTCTGATTTTGTTTTAATAGAGACACCCCAAGCCCAACTGAACCTTAATGCCTTGTCCGGATTGGGCCATCCAGAAACATTCCAAATTAAGGGACAAATTGGCACCCAAAAGGTGGGGGTGTTAGTAGATGGTGGAAGCACCCATAACTTCATCCAGAGTGGGGTGGTACACCGCTTGGGCATCCTTCCCAGCCCTATTGTCCCTCTGAAGGTGCTGGTGGGGAGCGGCGAAGAGTTATTATGTTCCTCTGTTTGCCAACCAGTTAACGTGATGATACAAGGGCACTCGTTCTCTCTGGATCTCCACGTTTTGGACATGGGTGGTTCCGAAGTAGTATTAGGAGCCGAATGGCTCAAGAAATTGGGCCCAGTCTTGATGGATTATGAGAAGATGACTATGAAGTTTGTGCACAATGCCAAGTTAGTGGAATTACGTGGAGATACCTACTCAGGACCAACTCCTATTTCCTTACACCATCTCTCTCAATTGGCTTCTTTCAGCACTGAAGCCCAATTTTTCTCCCTTACGTTGTTAGGGCCTTTTCAGTCATCCACCCAAGTTTTTACTCAATTACTTGACCCGAGGCTCCATTCTCTTCTTGAGGAATTTCTTGCACTTTTCACCGAACCTTCTGAGTTGCCACCAATGCGACCAACTGACCATGTCATTCCCCTCATCTCAGGTGCTGCTCCAGTGAATGTGCGACCTTACCGTTATGCACACTCTTAAAAACACGAAATCGAACGCCAAGTTCAAAAGTTGTTGTCCAATGGATGGATTCGGCCAAGCACGTCCCCGTTCTCCTCTCCTGTGCTCTTGCTCAGAAAGAAAAGCGGCGATTGGCGTATGTGCATTGATTATCGCGCTTTGAACGCGGTCACAGTTAAGGACAAATTTCCTTTACCCACTATTGAGGAGCTTCTCGACAAATTGGGATCTGCCATTTGTTTTTCGAAGCTGGATTTGGCTTCTGGGTTTCACCAGATCAGATTGCAAGCAGAGGAAGTAGCCAAAACTGCATTTCGCACACATGATGCACATTATGAGTATCTTGTAATGTCGTTTGGCTTGTGTAATGCTTCGGCGACGTTCAAAGTGACGATGAATGATGTTTTTCGCCCTTTATTGCGGAGATTTGTTATCGTCTTCTTCGATGATATACTGGTTTTCAGCTCTTCCATGGAACAACACCTCCAACACTTGCGTGAGGTATTTTCGCTCCTTTCTGAACATCATTTTCACTTACAACCCTCGAAATGTTGTTTTTGTCAGGATACTATAGAATACATTGGGCATATTGTGAGTGTTGGTCGTGTCTCTCCAGACCCATCGAAGGTTTCTGCTATTTTGGCTTGGCCTCTACCCAAAAACATCAAGGAATTGCATGGATTTCTTGGTCTTACAAGCTTCTATTGTAAATTTGTCCGTGGTTACGCCACCATAGCTCAACCAATGACTGAATTACTCCGGAAAGACAATATTCATTGGAATTCTAGCGCTACTGTTACATTTGAAGCTCTCAAAACCGCAATGGTTTCTGCACTAGTACTCTCCCTTCCAGATTTTTCTCTACCTTTCATGGTTCAGACAGACGCTTCCAGAGTAGCAATGGGAGCGGTTTTGTTACAATCTGATCATCCAGTGGCATATTTTAGCAAAAAAATTTGCCCGCAAATGATACAGGCTTCAGCTTACATCCGAGAATTACACGCCACTACTAGCGCCGTAAAAAGATGGCGGCAATACTTATTGGGAACTTTTTTCACAATCCAAACGGATCAGCAAAGTTTGAAGGAGATATTGACACAAGTGATACAAACACCATAGCAGCAATTCTATTTGACTAAATTACTCGGATATCATTACGATATTCAGTACAAACCTGGAAAAACCAATATAGTTGTTGATGCCCTTTCAAGGTCTATTGTGCCTACCACACCCTCTCATTTTGTCCTCACCATACCACAATTCAATTTCCTTGAGGCATTGAAGTTGGAATGTCAATTAGATCCCCAATTCGCAACTCTTTAGCATTCATTGGCTACTGACCCAACATCTCTTCTTGGGTTTAGCACACTGAATGACTTTCTCATTTTTCAAGGCCGCATTTGGATCCCTACTACTTCTAAATTTAAGTCCCTACTCCTCAAGGAATTTCATGAAACTCCAATGGGTGGACATGCTGGTGTCAAAAAATCGTTAAAAAGGCTAAATGGAAATTTCTACTGGGAAAATATGGCCAAGGATGTCAAGCAGTTTGTCTCCCATTGTGTCATTTGCCAGCAAGTAAAATACAGTACTAAGCGTCCGGGTGGGTTGCTTCATCCTCTCCCTATTCCTACGCAAGTCTGGAAGGACATTTCCATGGATTTTATCACAGGGTTGCCTCCTTCTCACAGCTATATTGTTCTTTTGGTCATTGTGGATCGCTATTCAAAGGGAGTCCATTTAGGAGCACTTCCATCACAATTTACCACCTACAAAGTTGCTGAGTTGTTTGTTTCATTCTATTGTCGTCATCATGGCCTTCCTAAGAGCATTGTTTCGGATAAAGATCCCCTTTTCATCAGTCGATTTTGGTCGAAACTGTTCAAGTTCAATGGTACCTTGCTTCGCATGAGTTCTTCGTGTCACCCACAAACTGACGAGCAGACAGAGGTGATGAATCGTTCCATTGAACAGTACTTGTGTGCATTTACTCATCATAAGCCTTCTCTTTGGTTTAAATACCTCTCTTGGGTGGAGTACCACTATAACACTTCGGTGCACTTTGGTACTGATCTTTCACCATTCCAAGTCATATATGGTCGCTTGCCACCTTCCATTCCATCTTATGTGGCAGGTTCATCCTCCATTGTTGCTTGTGACTCTTTACTGTCTTCAAGGGAAGAAATTTCTACATTCCTTCATCGTAACCTTGAGGCGGCTCAACAGAGGATGAAACTAAATTCTGATAAAAGGCGTCGTGAGATTCAATTTGTTGTGGGTGATTGGGTATATCTCAAATTGCAGCCATACTGCCAGGTTTCCTTGTCAGGAGAGAAGTTCACTAAGTTGAGCAAGAGGTATTATGGACCCTATCGCATTCTAGAGCGCATTGGCCCTGTTGCTTATCGTCTTGAGCTGCCTTCTCATTCCAAAATCCATGATGTTTTCCATTGTTCATTGTTGAAGTATCATCATGGCGCTCCTCCTGCTATTATTGATGAATTACCTCCTAATTCCACTCATCATCACCCTCTGATTACTCCTTTGGCTATACTAACTTTCAAAACAGTTCCCATAGACAATAAACCCACTACCTTCGCTCTGGTGCAATGGCTAGGCTTATCTCCCGATGACACATCTTGGGAGCTTTGGGAGAACATTCGCGAAGTTTATCACCTTGAGGACAAGGTGTTTCTTGATGAGAGAGGTATTGTTAGGAATGCTGTCCAAAATCAACCAGAGGCTCAATTGCTGTCAAAGCCCAATGAAGATGTTGCTTAGATAGAGAATGCCAAGGATGAGTCCAAATTCAAACGTATCAGCAAAAGACTCAAAGATTGGGATAATTATGTGCATTAGCTGATGTGTTAATTTGTCAATAGGATTCATTCTAGAATAGGATTCATTCTAGAAGGAGTTTGTTAGGGAAAGATTTTATTCTGTGTTTTTGTTTTTACCATTAGCACTTTACTGTTATTGCTTTCGATATTTACATGATGGGAAGGAATGAAATGAGTAGGGGAATTTTATGTCAATCTCTTCTCTTTCTTAGTCCTTGCTTAGGAGGTTCTCTCTGCCTCTAAACAGAGATATCCCTTTTATCACATTCATATGTTAAAACTTAAAAACCCTAGCCATAAAACATATTTAGTGTCTCTAACAAGCACGAAACGCCCTTCCACAATTACAATGCCTGTAAATTACAAGTTATTAAACCCTAAACTCCAAAGGAAGAATTATTTACAGACTTCAATTGAAAATTCACCTGATTCAGAATGAAGCTCTTGCCCTGGCGAGCGCGGCCACATACGGAGACCACGCCGACAGGTTCCTTGACGAGCTGGAGTGTGGCGACGGCTTCGGGGTCCATACAGAACCGTCCGTTCTCGTCGCAGTAGACAAGGCGAATTGGCCTCGCCGGACCGGTCACCGGAGACGAAGAAGGAGTCGCCGAAGGTGAGGCGTCGGCGGCATTGTCCCTTCTTCGACTGAAAAGGCTTATCATCTTCTTCTTCTACTTCTTCCTCTACTCCTGTCTTGCTTGTTCAGAACCAGTGAAACAAAAAAAAGAGACATTCAAACTTGGGGAGGGAAACTTTAAAATGACCATTTTAGCCCTGTACTGGTTCTGACTGTACCCATTCACGCCAGGACCTCTCAGTCATTTCACCGTAACATAGTTTTTTGTGTCAACCAGAGGGACCAAACATGTTTGAGCTAGCAAACTATTTCTTGTCCAATAGGCTTACAAACAGTTTTTTTTTTAAATAATAATTATAGTTCTCAAAACTATAAATAACATTTATTTTATCATATAAATGTGTTATTCGGCAAGAAATTAAAGGTATGTGTATAATGGAAATTTTTTTTATTTCTTATATAGATTAGAAACGTTGTGTGTTTTTATTTAGTCTTATATTTGTCATTTATTTTTTAAAATGTGTATATGTAAAAATTTATAAATTATATTATTATATTTAAAAGTTAAAATTAATTTAATTGTGAGTAAATTTTTTTGAAAAAATTATAACTATTTTTTATTTTCTTTTAAATTGAGAAAAAATAAATTTCATTGACTAAATATATGATTAACTTATATTATTTAATTCATTTAAAATGTGAGGCAGTTGAATTGGAATATTTTTTTAGAATATGTTTCTTCAAATTTAACATTTTTTAATTTTCATACAGTTTTTTTAAAATGTTATTATTATTATTATTATTATTATTATTATTATTATTATTATTATTATTATTATTGTTATTATTATTACATTGTATATATTTTTAAAATTTAAAAATCATTACATATGAAATTCCGGGAAGAACGTTGTTATAATTGTGAAAACCACCTAAATTGAGACATGTGAAGAAAGAAGTGAACGATAAAATTTATAAATAAATTGAAAACAAAATGAAACGAAAATTTGTTACTCGAGGTGAAATAGAATAAAAATAAATAAATAAAAAGGTATTTGATTAGAAAAAGTAAATAAAAAGGGTATTTGATTATACTTATATTTTCTTATTTCTTTTTTATTATTATTGTGAAGACAAATTTGGCTTAAAATTAGAAAATAAAATACTATTTTTCCATTAAATTGCTTAATTTTTTATAATTTTAAATAAATATTTGTCTTTTTTTTTCTTATACTTTTTTCCTTTTTCTTATTTTTTATAACAAATACGATGTTAAGAGAACACAAATTTTGAAAATATCAAAAAATATTTTTTATTTAAGACAATAATCAAAAAAATGTTAAATTTTAACTTTATATTATGATAAGATTTTAATGTAAAATCAATTGGCAATTGGTAATAAAGTAACTTAACATATATTTAAATCAAACAAAATAATAGACTGTATACAATTTTCAAACGCATATAAAATATTATAAAATAAATAAATATATATATATATATATATATATATATATATATATAATTGTTATTGATGTAAATGTAGGACTTGTCTCGTTGAAATAAATTGTTGACCTTTGATGTATGTTATTTCGGTTTAATTTTATATTATAAAAATTATATTTTTTATCTTACAAATTTTTTATTTTTGTTATTTATTTATTTAGGATTTTTTTATGATTGAGATGACATTTTGTAAATATATAATTATTTTGATGAAGATTTTTTTTTAAAAGAAGAAAACGTTTATTTTGTATGATACCTTTGACGAGGTGAATTTTAACAATATATTTTTAAAATATTATTATAATTAAGTAAATTTTGATTATAAAATATTTTTAAGTTAAATAAATGAAAGATACTGTCCATCAATCATATAAAATATATTACGTAATCTTTAAATAAAGTTTAATATAATAGAGATTTTAATTTATACTTAAATTTTAATACATAATAATATTTTAAAATATCTTAAGGGAATTTATTACTCACACACCTTTAAAAAATAGATTTTGAATTTTAGATATTGTATGTAAAAAAAATGCCGATAAAAATACACATGACGTTAGTTGATAATGTTGTGAATATCAATGAGTTAAGATTCGCTGAACTAGGCTTGAGCAAATTTTGTTGACAGCTGTACAGTCAGTGTTATAAATATCATCGCATGTTAATTGAGTAAATTGATGTTATTTGTTTTGAAGATGGATGTCTTTTAGAAGATATTTTAACGTTTCATTTATTTTTTTTTCATTTCTTTGTTATTCGTGGATAATAGGAAGCTACTATCAACTTTTTTTATATTTTACTCATGTTTGGATTAAGAGTGAGGTCGAGAGAGTAAATATATATATATATATATATATATATATATATATATATATATATATATATATATATGATTGTTTAAATTGAGAGATATTAAAAATAAAGAAAAATAAATAAATAAATTTATAAAATGATTGATGTGATTAAATAAAAAAATAAAATATATATTAGCTAAAATATCCTTTTAAATAAATATAAACTGAAATTTAATATAAATAATTCATTTATATTATAGATAAAATTTTATATATATTAAAATTAAATTTTATGTAAATTTAAAATAATATTTTAATATTTTTTAGAAATATTAAAATTTTATTTTTTATTATCTTAATAATAATTTATAAGTATTTTCAAAATTGTAAAAAAATATTTTTTTAAATATTATATTTAAATAATATTAAAATAAAGTATAATATTGTAATTATTAAAAATATTACAGTTATTTTTTATATCAGATACGGTAAAAGTTAATTTAAATGATTATTATATTGATTCTAAAATTATTTATTTATACATTTATCGATTTCGATGAAATATAATATTTGGATGTTTTTCTAAATTGATGAATTAAAAAAAATATTTTAATCTAAAATAAAATGCAAAACAATATGTTTGGAAAAATTATAAAATAAAATATAAAAATATATAAAACTTAAAACATAGAAATATAATGTTAAAAATAATATAATAAAGCAAAAATAAATCCACTCAATTTTCTTTTTTATTTAGGTAATTTATAATATATGGTTCCACTAAATTTTCTTTACAAATCAATTTATAGGTATGAATACACCTGTCAATCATCCACTCAATTCCGTACCTTCATTTCTCATCCATCGATCCAAACTTTATCGTAGTTTATAGTTGTACTTATTCTTTCAAAATCAAATAATTTGAATTAAAATTTCTTGTTAAAGATAAAAATAAAAGAAATTTATATTTACTTTTTATATTAAATGACATTGATACCTCTTCAAATTTTATACATATTTAAAACCTCTCTAGACTTATGTAATTTTTAACTTCTACTTTCTATGCAATAGTGTATCTGCTTCTAACAACAACTCGCCCCACCAATCCATTACCACAGAGGAGACATTTTCCAAACATTATTGCCACATCGCTCTCCAACTGATTCAGATCCAAGATCAACTTCATGTCCCCATCATTTAATTAATTCAAACGAAATATATTAACCAAACCTTGCTGCCATTCCACCACAAAAACTAAAATTGGGTACCTTTTACTACTATAAAAAATTTCAAATTATTTAACTCATATATAATACAACTAGTTAACCCTCTTCATTTTCTTGTACTAATTTCGTTTCGTTTTCCCTATCGAGAAGACAAAAACCTTACGTCAACATTAACTAACTGAAACATAATGTACAAAATCTCTTCCAGGCTTTTTTCATCACAACGTTCACAACGTCGTTATTCACGACGCAAAGCTGTTTGTCTCGCCGCACAAAGAGACCCAGAAAAAAAAAAAAGAAGAAGAGGGAAATCAATCTAAGAAATTTCTTCTATATATAATTAATTTCCCTAGATCACGAGAAATTAGGTAAAGAAAAAAGCATGTATTGAAAAATAGAGGTAAATTAGTCAGAGCCACAAGGCACCAGCGTCCTTTAAGATGGGAACCAATTCACCTGAGATATGAGTGGCCATGACTCGTTCCAACCCTCCGAAGAGCTTGCCGGCGAGGAACACCGCCGGAAACTGGAGCTCGTCGGCGTGGGGGAGAGGTGGCGAGCGACGGCGGCTTCATGGTCCTCATGGACCTCGTAGACGGGAGGGTTGACTCCTAGGCCTTGTAACAACCTTTTGACCACGTGGCACATGCAGCAGCCACGTCTCCCAATGATCACGACGGCGTTCTCTGAAACCATGGTGGCCACGTTGGCTGGATCGGTTCCATTGGATTCCGCCATCCCTCCGGTGTGTGACAGGTCACGTGCACCGGTGGAGATGCAGGTTCTGTAGGGAATGGCTTGGTGCATGATAGAGAGAGAAAAAGAGAAAGAGAGAGAGGAGTGGGGGAGGGAGGAGTAGTGGAGGGCAGAGGTGGAAATATAAAGAAAGTGGAGGGCGGGGGGAGTGTAACGTCAACGGCAGTTACAAATTGTACGTCACCGCTGTTGTGGGTGACGTGGTATTGCGTCACCGACGCGGTCAACACATTCCTGGAAGTTACATCCATGACATGATGAAATGCTGAGATGCTTCTCACTTGCGTTTTGTTTTCTCCCATTTTAAATCACTAACCTTATTTCCTACTAACTTCTCATTTTCAATGCCCCCTACTTAACTTTCTTCCTTGCATAACCAACTTGTTATTAGTATTATTATTATTTGTGCCAAGTCATTGAAATATCTTTTTTTTTAATAAAAATTCAATCGAAATAATTATGTAGGTTATAGAAAGGTAACATATATAACTTGATTAGTTGTATATTTATGAGTTTATTAATGATTTATTAATAAAGCGTTTTGAATTAGAAAATATTAAAATTGGAGACGAAAAACTATGTCACGTGCTACTTGTGGTTAACAAGGATTTCTATTAGTACTATCCGTAATTTTGTAACTATTTAATTACATTATATTTATGATTTAATTAATAAGGCGTTTTGTTTGATGTTGTATTATTGCCAGTAGTTCTTACTTGTATATATATAAATGATATAAGAAAATCTGTCCGCAACCATTATGTGACACATGACATAAAATAATATTTATTGATTTTATGAGAATAAATTTGACAAATATCTTGAAACAATTTAATTACAATTATCATTGAAATAGTATTTGTTTAAAAATAATTGATTGCATAAACGGGGGTGACGTGGCACCGTCCAGAGTCATATTTTGAAGGGTTTTAGTATATAGTAATGGTTACTGAGAAGAAGTGTTGTTATAGTCAGTGGCAGTAAAGGACGGTGCAGCGAAAACGACAACGTTGCGATGACGTCGTTAGCCATTTGCATGAACTCCATTGGCTGCCCACGTGCTCGTGGGAGGCACAACCATCTTCGCCGTCCACATGTTCAGGAGCTGTCGTTTTTCGAAATCTGTGTGCAGTGGAAGACTGAAGTGTGAGTGTGGGTGGTTCGGTCTGTTCAGCCCCACTACACGTTTTCATTGAGTTTCTTTATTGTTTTAATAAAATAAATTCGTCTAACACGGTTGGTTCATCGAGATAAGATGCATTTGCTATTATTCACCAAAAGTTGAATCTGACCCATGAATTATAACGCGTTATGGATGGGGTCACTGAATTCAAACGCGCTCTTATCTTATCTCACTTCTCATCACTCTGCTTTCTTCCTCTTTAAACATAATCTCCATCATGTTACTGTGCTACTATGTCACTGTAGTTTGAATTTCACCCTTCGTTATGTTGGAAAAAATAAATATTCCATCAAAATGTCATTTGAAGATATCTCAAAGTTGGAGCTAACTAGTCTCCCAATAGGTATATGCAAGATAAAGCTTTAGGGTCTTCGTTAATATCATAATAATCACACTACGTCGATGGAGGTAAAAGAACGTTATGAATTTTAATGGTAAAAAAACAACAACCCATAAACCAAAATAAAAAATATCAAAGTATATAAAGAAAATAATTTTTTTTAATTTATATGAATTTGGGAAGAAAAAATTATAAAAATAATCACAATAAAAACATATTAATTTTTTTATTTCGAGAAATATTTCATAATAAGTAAAACCCATAAACACAAGTCAATTAATTAAGATAAAAAAAACATCTAAGTATAATAAAGTCAAATTAAAATATATAAATAAGTGTTTACAAGCAGTCAATATATCAAAACAATATTGTTTTCAAATTTAAAGAACAAATAAAAAAAATTTAAATCTAGTCACTGATATCTCCGATCACAAACCTCCAAATTTCAACACGAATAATCTTACTCCATGAACCTTCTATCAAAATTTCAACAAGCAGGAATCATAATTTTACTAAGACATATCGGTAAATAAGTAAAACTATTTTTCTCTTTCAACTAGATGCAAAATTTACCTCTCTCTATTATGACCTAGAAGACCATTTTTCACTTAGGTTAAATGAGATAAAATGAGTTTGACTAATTTAGACTATTTAGACACATAGTTGAGAGTTTAACCCACCACATCTCCCCCTCAGAACTATGTGGAGGTGATAACCAATTCGATGATCTCACAATAAGTTTTAAACTTCTGTCTTGACACTGTCTTGGTCATCATATCAACACAATTGTCATTTGTATGCACTGTATCTAACTTTAACAACTTAGCATCCAGTGGTGGATCTTTTTGGAAGTTGAGGGGGTCGTGGCCCCCCAAAGTTTTGTAACTCCCATGTAATTTATGATTTTGGCCCCTTCCCCCAAACTTAATGATCATTTAATATATTTATTTGTATATTTATAATTTTATCCTCTCATCACTCCTAACTTGATTTTATCTCCTCAAACTTAATGATTATTTAATATATTTATTTATATTCGCCACTGTTAGCATCCAAAGAGTCACCCATCCAACAATACCTTACATTAATATGTTTTGGATCTATAATGAAATGTTGAATTCTTACCAAGATGAATAACATTCTGACTGTTCACAATTAATAGATAATTGTTCTGTACAAAATCAAGCTCTTACAAGAATTTTTCAACCATAACAACTCTTTGCATGTTTCTGTAATGACAATGAACTTTGTCTCTGTAATAGATAATATTACACACTTTTGCAATCTTGATTGTCAAGCCACACATCCCCCAACAAACTTAATTAAATAGTCTGAAATAGACTTTCTAGAATCAATATCTTCAACCATATATGAGTCTAACTAACCCATCAAAATGAGTTTATCACCTCTAAAGCAAAGTTTAAAATTACTAGTACCATGAAGATACCTCAAAATCTATTTCACAACATTTCAATGCTCTCTACCTAGATTGGACAAGAAATGACTGACTACCAATAACATGTGCAATATCTGATATAGTACATACCATTGCATATATTAAACTACCCACTACAGATGCATAAGGAAATTTACTCATATATGATTTTTTAACTACATTTGAAGGATCCTGCTTAACACTCAATTTAAATGAGTTGCAAGAGGAGAATGTTCACTGGTTTAACATTTTCTATATGGAATCTCTGCAACACCTTCTTAATGTAGTGCTCTTATGATAGCCAAATCTTCTTTTCACTTTTATCACATGAGATGTTTATGCTAAGAATCTTTTTAACAACTTTCATGACAAATGACTTGTACAATTACTTCTTTAACCTATCAATTTTAAAAATATTTTTTCCAACAAGAAGTATGTCATTAACATGTAACAACAGGATAATAAAGTCATCATTAGAGAACTTTCTAACAAAGACACAATGATAAAAAGCAGCTTTTTTATAATCTTTATCACATAAAAGATTCAAACTTCTTGAACCACTATCTTGAAATCTGCTTCAAACCATATAGACTTTTTCCTAGTCTACACACATAATCTTCCATTCCTTCAACAAGAGAACCATTATGTTATTTCATGTAAATCTCTTCTTCAAAATTACCTTCACATTCATCTGTTGAACCTCCAAATCAAGGGTAGCAACTAAACTTAGCACAACTCTGATGGATGACATTTTCAGTACAAGTGAGAAAATCTCATTGAAATCAACAACATTTTCTGTCTAAAGCCTTTCAGCACTAATTTGGCTTTGTACCTTGGAGATGTAGAATTAACTTCTTGTTTCACCTTGAAAATTCACCTGTTCTTTTAAACCTTTTGCCCTTAGGCAATTTTATCAAGTCATAAGTGTGATTATCATGCAAATATTTCACCTCAACTTGCATTGCATCTAACAACTTTTATTTTTCTTCACTTTCCAAAGCTTCTTCAAAACACTCAGATTCACCATCATCAGTCAAATTTACATACTCATCAAAATAATACCTAAAAAAGAGTTTTCTCAACCTATTGGATCTCCTGGTAAAGACTTGTGGTAATTTAGGTATATCATCACGTTTCTCTTGAGTGTCATCAATTAGAATACATCTTCTTCAACTTGTTGATCATCAACATCATAATGTTTCTAATCACTATGAGCATTAGACTCAACATTATTCAAACTATGAACAAACAACCGTATCGAATTACCATAAATAAAATTACTATCTTTCTCGGGTGCAGTCTTCTCCACTTTGTTAACATTTTCAATGGTTTGATCTTCCATGAACTGCACATCACGACTTATGACTAACTTTTTCTCAACACGATCATACAACCTGTAGTCAAACTCATCCTGACCATAACCAATAAATATACATTGTCTTTTCTTTGCATTTAACTTGGATCTTTCATCTTTTGAAACATAAAAAAATATCCTGCAACCAAAGACACGCAAATGATCATAGTTAACATTCTTGTCAAACCATATTTTGTCTGGTATCTCAATATTCAAAGCAACTGCATGACTAAGATTAATAACATGCATGGTTGCAAGCAATACTTTTCTCTAAAAATGCTTAGGCAAACGTTGTTTTAGAAAGCATACATCTAACTCTTTCAACCAACTGATCATCCTCTCTGCTAGATCATTCAACTAAGAAGTTTTAGGAGGAGTCTTTTCATGTCTGATACCCTGCTCCACGATACTCACCACCAATATTAGTACGAATGCATTGCGACATCTTACCTGATTGTCTCTCAACCAAAGTATGAAATTCTTTGAACTTTTCAAGTACTTGATCCTTTATTTGTAATGCACAGACTCATAGCTTCCTAGAACAATAATCAATAAAAGTAACAAAGTAAAGTGCACCACTAACCAACTTTACCTTCAATGGGTCATAAACATAAGATGAAAGCACTATGGGAAGATTGATAGTAATGTGAAACATTTTCCTACATTATGAAGAAGATGATTTTGATGAAAATTTAAGTCAACACCATTTAAGACTCAAGTAAGTCTAAGATGAAGCCTGAAGACTAGATATACATTATGAAGAAGATGATTTTTGATAAAGATTAAAGTCAATATCATTCAAGACTCGAGCAAACTCAAAATAAAACATGAAGAATAGATAGAGTCTTAGAACACTAGATATGGAGGTACAAATTAATGAAGTAGTATTGTGCATAAACCTCCAAAATACAAGTGTGATAAAATTTCGTATTATGACATTTTTCACTGTCCTAATCGATTATGTAAGTAACATAATTGATTATGATGCTTCAAGTGATGAAAATTGATTTTGCCTCTGTCATAATCGATTACATAAGTGTCATAATCGATTATGTAAGTAACATAATCAATTATGTAGGTGTAATAATTGATTATGATGCATAAAAATGAAAAATTGACTTTGACACTGTCATAATCGATTATACAAGTGACATAATCAATTATGTCAGTTCAAATTTGAAAAATAAATCTGTTTTTTATTTTGAATCTAAAGTTTTCAATGTTATTTTTCTATTTAAATGAATTTTGATGAAAAATCAAAATACACAATCACAGAATTCGAAAATATAGATTACAGACATTCATATTTAAGAAATTCATTTTGAGCAAGGCAACGTAGTCATTTTACACTTTTCGATAAAACTCTCTTCTCTATTACCTTCTTGGAGGTTTGTATTCTACAGGCTTCTACAATTTGTTGTTTCCATTACTAGGTGTGACTGTTCTTATTTAGGGTTTCCTGTATGGGAATTGTTCATCCTTTGATTTGTTCAGAGGAGGCGTTCATCATTTGATTTGTTCAAAGGAGGTGTTCATCCTTTGTGGGTTGCAAATGAGGTGATTATTCATCCCTTGATTGGTTCAGTGGAGGTGTTCATCCTTTGATTTGTTCAGAAGAGGTATTCATCTTTAGTGGGATTCTAGAAAGGTGATTATCTTTTTAATTAGTTTACTGTTTATTGGTTCTTCTGCAAAGTTGATTGTAATTTATAAACTGAATTTTAAAGATAGTGAA